TATATATGAAATTCCAGGCCTATGACTGGATAATAAAACTCAATTCAAAATATTTGAAATTACAGACATTACATCTTTATAATCTACATTATCCTGTTTCTTTTCTTGCTGAATTAACATTATTTCACCTCATTTGCATGCTCTCTTTCATTTTCTTTTGTATGGGTGAGACACAGCATAATCTTATCATATAAATCCCACTATATTCAGCAGGTCTTAGTCCCTAGTAATTTTTGTAGGATATTCAAAATATTTGAAATTACAGACATTACATCTTTATAATCTACATTATCCTGTTTCTTTTCTTGCTGAATTAACATTATTTCACCTCATTTGCATGCTCTCTTTCATTTTCTTTTGTATGGGTGAGACACAGCATAATCTTATCATATAAATCCCACTATATTCAGCAGGTCTTAGTCCCTAGTAATTTTTGTAGGATTTCAACTTTCTGTTGTAAAGGAAGCACCACACTATGTTTCTATCTTTTCTAAAAACAAATAAATGGAGATACTGACATCGTGTATTTACTGATACTCCTGTTATGTATTTTCTATATATTTATGCATATCTTAACTTTATTAACTTTATTATTATGCCCATAGGTCAGCCATGTTAGATATGCAAGACTTAAATACAATACCTAAGCATATAATATTTACAACCATAGGCCTAGTCTTCAAGCAAACTGAAATTCCGATTAAAGTTCTGTGGAAGTTCCTAATCTAGTTGCTGCAGTGATTTAGTCATCTCTTTTCTTATAGTATGAGCCACATGTCACTTAAGGAATCAGAGACGAGAAAAGAAATGTAACATTTGTCAGGTCCACTTGGATATTTTTTTAAATGGGAAAATAAGCAGACTGTGTAAATTCATATAAAATGCTCAATACAATAAGACATGTTCCAGTTTCCACCAGATCCATGGGGCAAAAAAGTTAGTCGTAAGGGATATATGCACATCTTCCCTCTAAAAAGGCTGAAGCTCTCCAGTGTCTTACAAATTCTAAATTGTAAAGATAATCTGCAGGGGTAAAGATCTTGCTGTGATTCCCAGCCACTGAGTAACGTGGGACTCATGCTGTTGAGCTTGAGGGCTATCTCATAAATCCCAAATGTAATAGGGATGGAGGGGATGATCTAAAGAACAACAATTTCTCAGCTCCTCTTCTTGCCCAGCCTGAGAAATGGTTATCTCTGAAAATCAGAGATGCTAACCTGGTAGGATTAAGATTTAATTTCAGATAAGGATTGACTATTTGAAGTCAACCACTTGTTTCAAGCCAAACCATTCCAGTTTCCAATCTGAGTAGAGCATTAGAGACAGTGTGGTACACCAAAAACAGTTTGCAGGAATTCAGACTGTAGTGCCTCAAGGGGGTGGAGGTATTTATGTATGCATAAGCCTGAACCATACAGACAATGGATCAGTACTTTGCCTAAGACTTTTAGTTGAGATTATATATAGGAACTTCCTTTTGAGAAGAAAAATGTCAAGGTGTCAGTGGTAGTTCTTTGAGTATTTTCAGTGACATGGGTGATAATGAGCTCTCCAGAGCCCAGTTGTTTGAAAAACTATACCTAAATATATATAGGTCTTGCTTGACTTTTTTGATATCACGCTGACCACTTGTGCTTGTCAAATTTGGTGAAATCCAGAATGTTTGTCTTTTGGTAGTTTATTACAAGGTGCTTTTCAGAGCAGTATTCTGTAAAAGGCCAAAGAACTCTCGTAAACTTTGCTTTAGTAAAGGATAACATTACTGTATCATCTGCATATAGTAGAGCAGGGATTGGTCTATTTACGAGTTTGAGCGAGTAAAAATCAGGGTTTGTTAAGGCTTGAGCTATAGAATTGATATAAAATAAATAAATAAATAATAGAGAGCTAGAATATATCCCTGTTTCATACTCCTCCTGATGGGTACCCTGTGAGATAAATATCCTGTGAGTTGAACCTTACTCTAAGATGTTTTTTTGTGTGTGTGTAGCGTAGGAATTAGTGCAAGTAGTCTCTGGTCTACAGAGGAAGCTTTAAGTATGGCCCATAACCTGCCCCAGAGGATGTTGTCAAATGCTGACTTGAAGTTAACAAAAGCAGCACAAAATGCCCATGAGGTCTAGAGGTACACTTCTCTACCAAGTGCTATATTATTTTTCTGTGGATTATTTATGCATATCTTTCCACAGAAATTGCAAATGACAAGCAAAATGAATGAACATGTTAAAAACTATTTGTTCCTATATGTTCTGAAGAAAATCTCATGACGATATACAGCATTGCTTACAGTCACAAGGTCTTTCACTTTAACTTACTTCTTTATTTACATCCTCACCTCCATTTCTACTACCATGAAACACAGGGTAAAATATCATCTGTAACTTCTGTATGCCCTTATATGCATTGAAAATAAGTAGCCTAAACCTTTTACACAAAGAGAGTAACAGCCTTAGGAGTAGAGCATGCTCTAAGCATGGAAAGTGTCCATATGATTCATAACACTGATGGTGTGGCACTGTGAACAACAAGAACTCCCACACATAGAAGCTCCTCTGTTCAGATTATCAAATGAAGAAAACAGCCAGAAGTATGAAAGAAGAGTGGCTGAAACTAGCACGCTGCCCTCCACATACATTTCAGCTATTCATTTTTGCAATGCCTAAATATGGTTATTATGCTGTTGTTATTTGAGTCATATCCATATGGCATATATTCTACCACTATTATTATAATATATTCTGCTACTATTATTATATTATATGAATGAGTTTACCATACTAGAGTGGGAAAATGTGGCATTCTAAACATCCTAAGTTTGGGTCTTAGTGTCAGAAATTCACATTTTTTCAGTCAATAAGGAATTATAATGCCACCCCAGAAATATTCCCAGACTTTGCCTGTTTTTTCCAGCTGGAGTGTCCGAATGGCTGATTCATATTTCCATTATATCACAATTATGCTTTTGTCTGGTATCCTTGTGTCTCTTCCAGTCATTTGCAGATGGGCCAAAAGCCACAGAACAAACTGTACTTCATATTAGTTCCAGCCATCACCATTTTATGAAATAGGTCCCACTTACCACAAGGCACAGCAAGTTTCCCACAAACTTTTAATTTTCGAGGCTCTTCATGATCTTGCTACTTGTTTATTCTGAACACTGCAAAAAGATGTCTCTTTTTGCCCCTCTCAATCCAAATAACCTAAACACTGATGGTTTCTAAATATATTATACATGTGAAGAAGACATTGAACTTACAACACACAGCTAAATAGAAATGGCTCAACAGTAGTCAGAAAGCTTCTCAGAGAAGGAAAAGTTGTGCTTACTGGCATAGGAAGCACGTTATAGTGCTCCTGGGAACTACTGTAGTGATACTATAGTTTTCCAATTGACACTGTCAGTTTTAATGAACCCAGTTTAGCACAGATAGAGCAAAATAATACAGAAAATTAAGAACAGTTTATCAGAAAGCCAGTTTTTAAAAGTAAGGACAGTACAGAAAAATCAGAATCTTTTTACACTTAAGGCCCATTCCACACATTATAATTAGATTAACTTACATGTGCATGGAAGCTTGAGTATGACAGTGTTACATTAGTGCAAAAACGATCTGCAGAAGCCACTTTGGCTAGAAAAGTGCACCTATCTGGGATTTGCCAATGGGATGATATTATGACTATCTAATGGCTCTCTATGAATATTCCAATGGAGCTCAATTATCTAGAGCAGTGCCCATCATTGGTCATACTTCTTTAAGTGGTTTATTATCACATTAACGAATTAGTGTACTAAAGAAAAATTATTGGGGCAAAGAGTGTCAATGATATATCATAAACTGGAAGGGAGATACAGAGACCTGCCAATGGGGATAACAAGATAAAAGTGAAGCAAATGGAGAGAAATATCCATGTTTTTACATCTCTACAGTATGCCAATGCACAAAGAAATGCTGCACTAAGTATTCTCAGCATAGGAAGAAAAATATTAATTAATGGGTGTGACAGCCTCCTCTCACGTCACAAAGGAGCTGCCATGTCACTCTCACACCCTCACTTTATTCACGCTGCCACCAACCATTCCCTCATAAAACTCTTTAGACAAAAGTATGATTTTTAAAATAATAACTTATGTTTATTGATAATAACAAAAGGAATGGTAAATCACTATAATAATTAAAATAAAAGGCAATCAGTATAATAAAGTACTCACACACATACTCTCTCTCAGACCTTCACTCTATATATATATAGCACAGTACTACACAACATGTACAAGCCCTAACTCCCTAAGTCCCTAACCAGACCCTACCAAGTCCCTATCTCAAACCCTATCTGACTCACACCTCATTCACTCCCCCTTAAATACCTTAGCTCCACCCTCTTAAGTCCCACCTCCCGTCACGCTACTGGTAGATGACATACAGCCACAGCTATGACGGGCAGATGATGTCACCGCTACCGTAACAATGGGCATTACTGAAACCTGGTAGGATGAGACTCATTACTAGAATGCAGTGATTGAAAGGTCTAGCTTGTTCAAAGGAAAACATGATAAAGGAAAACAAGAAGAGTTGCACTGTATGTGAAGGAAGCATACATCTGTGAAGAGATCCATGATTTGGAGCATGACATGCCGTCTGGAGCATGACATGCCGCTGGATAGCATTTTGGTAAAAGAGAGAGAAAGAGGGAATCAGTGACATAATGGTGGAGGCTCTGCTAGATAGCTCCTAAATCCTTCTAGATCATTATTATATAAAAAAAATAGAGACATGGTTATTATGGGAGTAGAAAACTTCTTGTTGTAAGACCAATTTTGTGGAATTTCTAAGATCTACTTTCTCAGTTGCCTTGTTGACAGTTTTTTTTTTTGGAAGAGGCAACAAAAGGACCAGCTGTTCTAGGTCTGGACTTAACTAACTGATCAACAATGTATAAATAGGGGGATTGAAGTGGAAGTGACCACTTGGACTTCGATATACTGGGAATAGGGAAAGCTGATATTAGTATAACAAGCACTTTGGGTTTTAGGAAAGCTGATTTCATTAAGTGTAAGGAAATGCTGGGTCATATTCTGCGGTCATTCATCCAATGGCACTTCCAAAGTGCTGTGATAAGCCAACAAGGGACAGTCATTCGTGGCAGGTGGATCTCTGCAGATGGATCTCTGCAGGGAGTGCCCACATGTGTTCACATTCACATTTCAGGAAGACTTTTTCCACAGTGACTTTTGGGATACTGTACTGCACTTTCTAAACTAAAATTAAGGGCGAAGAATTTATAACAGCTGTGAATCCTGGAGAAAGACCAGAGAATGCCAGACTACAATGTGGAAGGAAAGAACTACCCATCTCTTGAAATTGTCAAAAACCTCATTCACAGGGAGAACTGGGTTATTTGGATATAACCTAATAGGCTACAGAGTGCAGGTGGAAGAACCGAGGTGCACCTAACAAAATGGGTCTTTCACACTGACCCAGTTGTTTGCAAGTCCGGAGAAGTAGAGGCATTGCCACGGCTATGTCACTATAGTAACTCTCAATATGAACTATGGAAGATTTTATGTTATTTGCCCCAAATAATCTTCATGTTGGCCGTTACAAGGCAAAAAGTATCTGACATGCTTGATTGAAAACAAATACAGTATCTAAAAATCCTCTTCAGTGGGCTGCTCAGACCTGCTCCAGACAAAAAGTAATTTTCAGTGGTTTATTTGAAAAAGGAATACAATTCTGAAAGTATGTTGGGAATAGAATAAAGTATTTCTGGACAAAACGAGCACATTAACAGTCTAAGCTATTGTATGAATTCTTTTGGTACCTTTTGATACAATTCAGAGTTGACAGAAGGACTCTTGCCATTTATGGAAGGAACAAAGTTCATGCTGTATCCTTCACACTGAAAGATGGGGATGAGGTATTGATTGATTGATTGATTGATTGATTGATTGATTGATTGATTGATTGATTGATTGATTGATTTAATGTATATACCACCCATCTAGAATGTGTCTACTCTGGGCGGTTTACATAAAACATGAAAAAATAAACTAAAGGTAAAATCTGAATTAATCACAGGCCAATGTTGTCCGCCACCAAGCTCAGTTTCTTTCTAATGGGCTTAATGAGTGGTTCCTCAAGAAGAGACCCATTTATTATTTCAGTAGCCCATTAAGTTATCACCAGCCTGGCAGTGGCAAGGAAGGCCTGCTGGTATAGCCATGTCTTCAGGTTGGTCTTGAAGGCCCTCAGTGGGGGAGGCAGGTGGATCTCTGCAGGTAAGTTATTCCAGAGGTGAGGGGCCACTGCCGAAAAGGCCCGATTTTTAGTTTTATCTCTTCGGACCTCTCTTGGCGTTGGGCCCATCAGCTGCCTGACCTGACTGGAACAGATGATACAGGAAGAACTAGGCGGAAGTAGGCGTTCTGCCAGGTATCGAGGGCCTAAACCATTTAGGGCTTTATATGTAATCGGGGTGGCCAGGAGTGACTCTGCAGTTAAAATTAGTATGCCAACTGTGCCTGTCTCTTGAGAGGTCTGATCTGATCCCAATAAAACATGCCCTAGTTATATCTCAGTGTAATTACTATAATGCACTTTACATGGGGCTGCCTTTTTGAAAGTGTTTGGAAACTCTAAAGGTTCCAAAGTACCACAGCCAGATTGCTAACTGGGACTTTTGCCAGGAACATATAACTCTCCTGTTACAACAGCTCACTGGCTGCCAATCCGTTTCCAGGCACAATTCAAGGTGCTGGTTTTAACCTATAAAACCCTAAATGGCTTCAGTCCAAGCTATCTAAAACAGTGGTCCCCAACCTTGGGCCTCCAGATGTTCTTGGACTACAACTCCCAGAAACCTTCACCACCACCTCTGCTGGCCAGGATTTCTGGGAGTTGAAGTCCAAGAACATCTGGAGGCCCAAAGTTGGGGACCACTGATCTAAAAGACTTCATTTCCCTCTATGAGCCTGCCTGGGTGTTAAGATCATCGGCAAAGGTGTCTCTCAGTTCAACCACCCTCGTAGATGAACTTGGTGGGGAACACGGGGGGGGCATCTCTGTTGCTGCTCCCAGACTCTGGAACACACTTCCATGGGAAGCTAAGGCTATCTCTCTGCTAGCAGGTGAAGACCTTTCTCTTTAGGCAGCTTTTCTTTTCACTAGATTTCTGAGATGGGTTTTTCAAATTGGATTGCTGTGCTCTGTTGTTTTAAATATGTTTTAGTATTGGTTTTATTTACCATTTTTAATATATTTGTTTAATTAAAAAATATTTTTATACTTACTATTTTTAGCCTTTAAATATTGTCTTTTAAATGATGTAAGCCGCTCTGGGTCCTTTAGTAAATAAATAAATAAATAAATAAATAAATAAATTTCTTGTCTTAGAGGAGGTTTATTAATAAAATAATAGAGAACTTCCTGGTAAATTATTTTTTTGTCCCAGCAAAAAAAATAAGAAATAAAAAAATAGAATTATTAGACCTAAAAGACATTGCTGGATAGCTACTGAAGGTGATTCTTGAGAGAGAGCTACATGGAAAGACAATATTTTTATTTGCTCAGGAGATTTCCCCCATAAAATATATCTATAGTTAGTTAAACTCTATAAAGGAATCAGACAGTAGAGCAGACACTGTCCTCAGGTAACCTCATACAGCTGCAGTCAGGGAAAATTTGCTGTCTCTTCTCAGACTTACACTTTGAAGTGCTTAGTTCTCTCACATTCTTCCCCTTAGGAATGACAGTAATGTGAAGCAGTCCTTTCCTTTCTGTATGATTGGAGGAGGAAATGTTAATGCAGCACAATGCTTTATCAGTGGTGCTGAAGATGGCTTTTCTTTTAAACATATATATCATTTTGTAAGGTACCTAATCTGAAGTCTCTGTTCTTTCCTTCCTTTTTTTTTAAAGAGGTGCATTAGCACTTGTTAAATGCGTTCTGACATTTGCTTATATTTTTATGCAAATGGTAGCAAAGCAGATTTGAAAAATGTATACTTATTTCCCCACCAGGCACTGTATGTTTACATTTGCGTAGAAAATTGATACCTAAGAACAATGATTTTTCAGTGTTTCCCCTTTAGGGAACAGTTTCCATACCGGCCTACTTGTTAAAGAATTGAATGGTATCTGCCAAGAATGCCTGCAAATTCCAGAACACTCGGGGAGATGTTTTCAGGGACAGACTCAAGGTATATACAACGCTTTAAACATGTAGCTAAGACCTGTACTTTTTCCTACTCAGAAGTAAGTGAATCCCCAGTCCTAATTGGGAACCTAATGTGAATGATATGGTTTCAACACATTGTTGAATGTCATGTTCTTGATTTGCAACAGTAGTGATATGCCTGCAATTAGCTAAGGAAAAAAAATCCTTTAAAGCAGATCAGGATATTTCATTTATAGACAGATATGTTTGTATGGTGTGTGTGTGAGAGAGAGAGGGAGGGAGGGAGGGAGAGAAATCTGTAATGAGCCTATCTATAGCTTGGGGGAAGCCTTCTACCCCTACCATAGGGCCCCATTTAATTACTAATAAAATGATAATTAATACATAAGAGCAAATTAATTAAGAAACATAACAAGTAGGCTTATCCCATCTCTATGATACAGTATTTATATTTACCATAACTAAAATGCTCTTATTCTGCTGAAAAAGACGGCAACTCATTTCTTTTCTGTGAATTCCCACTGAATTCAACTTCTGAAGAGACTTTGGAATCCAGAAAAGAAAATGGCCACTATGATACCCAAGAAGACCTAACAGTGCAATTCATCCTCACACCTATGAAGTTTGCAGTTTGCAAAATAAGACTAGGAGAAGGAACCTTGGATGTAGGACTTGAACATACCTCTAACAATTGTTTTACATTTACAGTAGGAATGCACAACTCTGCTCTAAAAGTGACTTTTACATTTTAATTACATTTCCAAAATTACCACATCATTAATCAAGTGCAATAAAGCATTTTACTGCAATTTTAATCAATGTTTGCTTTTAAATCAACACCATTAATCCTCCATTTTTCTCTATGAGCTCATTCACATACTCTAAATGTTCTTGTCCAAAAGGGGGAACTGGGGTACATTTTGAGATCCATTATCTCCATCTGTTTTTTAAAAGAACTAGGATCATGATATGTGCTGTACAACCAAGAACTTCCCTGACATCAGCTGCAATATCAGCCATGGGAGTGTTGTCTAAAATGAGACAAAGGAGAAATAAAATTTCCTAAATGTTTCATCCTTATTGATGCAAGCTGTCAAAACTAGCTGAGATACCTTGATGAGTCCAATGCCATTTGTCACCTCCCAGTAAGAGTGAGACATGTTCATGTAAAACTGCTATTTTTTCTCATCAAGGTTGCCATAATTTATACAAACTAATTTAAACAAACTTTTTACTTTGAGAATACACACACACACACCTCTGAAGAAACACAAGACTGGTTGTATGTTTGAAAAAAGAGGCAAACACCTCCTCTGATGACCACGCAACAAAACAGTAACCAGGAGTATTTTGTGAAGTTTGCATTAAAGAATAGTTTTTGAAAAGGTTCTTTTCTTGTTGAGAGCACCACAACATACCTCGCCCTCTTGTGGGGTAAAGAGAATAGATCTGAGACTCTTTGTCCTTGTATGTAGGCATAAAGGATGAGAAAATATGTATTTGTTACATCCTTACTCATGTGCCTGGGCAAGACATGCAAGGGTTTACATACCAACTTTCACCTACAACACAGCTCTTTCTCTCTTTCACTGCACTTTCCCCCTATTCCCCTTTCGTGTTTTTCCACCAAATGTTTACATAACACACATCCCTCTCAAAGCCATCCCATGCTCTTCTGCTTCTGTTCCTCACAAATCTTTCTAAAAATCCACTCTCAGTTCTTGCCCTGCTTGCTTGTTTGCTAGCCTGATCTATATGGCTTTTCCCCCCTATACCCATTTGAGGTTTTCATTTTTGCAGTAATTCACACGCTATAGTTACCTTAAGTACCAATAGATCATGTAGTATGCAGTGCAAATGTCTGTCTGCTTTAAGTTGGAAAAGCTAGTGGCTATTTCTCTGATTCCAAGAAAGAAAGAACAGCACTGTTCCAGTGAAACAGGCATATTCCCATTTTGATGGGTTAAGATTTTTTTGACAAAAAGATAAGATATTCATTCAATATAGAATTATTTCAATTGCTTGCAATATTCTTCAGATTTATTTATTTATTTTAAAGATGGAAGAGCTTTGATTAGTTATTGTTCAACTTTATTCTAAGAACAACAAAGCAGATTGATAGAGCACAGAATGATGAGCAAGTCAGTAAAATTATTTCCATAACAATGTACAGACTAAGAGTACAGCCATATGAAAGGCCATGAAATAATTGAGAAGGAAAAATAAACATCTATATATATAATAGGGCTATCTGAATTTGGACCAAACATTTCCTTGCCCTCCTAGGATTTGTATAGTAAGCAGACAGTAATGATGTTCAATATGATATTACACCCCAAGATATTTAATATATTTGTGACTATCCTAGTGATCTAAGCAACTCTCTTTTCATCACCTGAAATGTAAGACATTAAAAGAATATTCTAACTACTTTCCCACTAGTATATTGGACAGAGCCAGTTAAGGCTGGCAGCAAAACCCCACTGAATTCTGTGGACCTACTTTTGAGCTAATATGGGCAGGGCTGACCTATCAGACATAAAAAGAAGAAAACAATTTGATGAAACAGCAAGGGATATATACGATAGGACTAGTTCTCATCCATATGTGTTTATCAAATGCAAAATGTCTACAAAATATCCCACAGATGGTCTCTGTCTCCAGTCAGAATCCAACACATTGTTTCTAATAATGAGGCAGTATGTTGAAGAATCTGTGCAAAGACGGCTCTTTTTCCATATGTTGTGATGGTTCCCATTTTGGAAAGAGGCTAATAGGTCAATATTCATTAGCGTAGGTAGCAAAATTCTATTCGTGTTGTTTAGTTATTTCTTCAGGGCTTTTTACGTGAGAGATCTCCATGTAACACAGTATAAATAGCTTGCATCTTCTCTTATTAGTAGCTAAAGAAAAAAGTTATTTTTCTACTAAAATTATATGATATGATAACTTAGAGAGCATTCTTGGGATTTAAAAATGATTTCAACACATTCTTTCATGTTGGAAGAGAACTGAAATTGATAAAGATACAGGTGTTTTTTTTAATTCAACCATTTTCAGTATCATTTAGAACTAAGGGACAATACAAATATATGCAATATTCACTGATGTTCAATAGAAAGTGACATTTCTATGTCATAATAGCTTCTGCAATTCTCCATTTTGGATATATTAAAATATCCATTGTAAAATACCTTCCTATTCTTAAGTTTGGGTTTAATTTTTGGACACTGGTTTTTTTATTAATAATTACAAAATTCAAAGTGAAAGAGCTTGATATTTAGGCACTAGAATGGAGTAAGCTGTACCTGCCACAGATAAATCAAATAAAAAAGACAAGTAATATTATTTCACAAGAACATTCTATATTATTATTGATCTGGCTTGATTATGTGTTGCTCTATAGTAATATGCTATTTTCCATTCTTTTGATAAGCAGTCTCATGAATTCTTGCATCTGCTCAAACCTTTGGCCTTTTAATTCTGTTCCAGTACTCACAGCTGTAACAATATGACTGAAGGTCAATGCTGGTTTCAAGAAGAATAAGAAACCACTGTGAATTTCCCCCCATTTCTTCTCTAAACCAGAAGGGAGAAACTTCTCAAGACTCCAGATTTTTGCCACTGGTTGATATTTATTCTTCAAAATATGATCCACCTGTCAGTGATAACATAATACTTGGAAGATACTAACAAAAATAATCAGCCTAAAGAAAGCCTTGGTGTTTTATTCTTGGGGTTTACTCAGCTCAACTATCTAAAATATATTCCATGTATTAGCTAACATATTATTATTAATAATAATAATACTAATTACACTGTACCCTTAATTAATCAGCTATTAAATTTTATACCATTAAAGGTTGTCTCATACACAAGTCATTTTGTTAAATCTGACATTCAAATCCATCTTTGCAATACGCTCTCCTCTGGAGTTGGGCCATGAAATAAAATGCTATGAAAAACAAAATAAACCAAAACCCTGCTGTGGAAGCAGGACAAATCTAGTTTTCACATCCCCTGCACAGATAGAAACAAGACAGAAGTAAAAGGCACCAAATGGAGCTCAAAGCTTCAGTATGATATCAGCCTCAAGATTCTGGCAGAATCTGCAACCTAAGATATCAGTCCCTCCAAGTTGGATAGTCTCACATATTCTGCCTGCCCAAAATTTTTCTTTCTTTCTTTCTTTCTTTCTTTCTTTCTTTCTTTCTTTCTTTCTTTCTTTCTTTCTTTCTTTCTTTCTTTCTTTCTTTCTTATTCATTTTAAGTCTTGAGGAAAGAGAATATTAGAGATAGGAGACATGAAAAAAGATCTTCTTATGTAATTATTTATCCAATATAATTATTGTCCAAGACAAAATAAGGCTCCTGTCTACTACCATCAAAAACACACACCAAAAATTTAATGAGGTGCTGTTTTTCCTGGTTGATGCTGGCACTAGTACAGAGATTCTTCAACCAACTGGGTCAGCACATATGATACAGTTTTACTAAAGTAACTGCACCACATAAGGCTTGGCTAAGCAAAAGCAAACATGGGGGGTCAAATTCATCAAAGGATTGATACACATTTTGCCAGTTTTTGCTTCTCTGACCCTGGCATATTTCTTTTTGTAATAGGCAGATTCTTTGTAACCATCATAAACTATTGTTTGTATGTGTTCAATGTGTCTTGGATAAACAAAGAGAGTGGGAGAAATCCAATTAGGAAGTGGTACAACTTTCACTTTTAACAAAAAATGAGTTGAAAGTTAGCATAGTATCAATCTTTCAAAATTATCCATGGGAAGCAAAGAAAGTATAGATATGTTGGTTAAACATTTGTCCCAGCTCAATTGAAGTCAGAATTATTAGGAGCCTAATGGTGCACTGGTTAAACTGCAGGGCTGCAGTGAAGACTCCACTCATGATCTGAGTTCAATCCTGGACTCATGAAGCTCACTTGAGGTTGACTCAACCTTCCATTCTTCCAAGGTTGGTAAACTGTATACTCAGCTGACAGGGGAGAACAACGTGTAGCCTGCATAATTAAATTCTAAACTGCCCAGATAGTGTTTTAAGCATTAATGGGCGGTAAATAAACAGCACATTTTGCTTTGCTTTTAAACATATAAAAGAACAAGGTTTGTAGAGGAGGAATCAGCATGTGTTTTGCAAATAAAACGGTTTCATCTCTTTTAGTTATAGACAGAGACGACTGGGTAGACATTATTTCTAGCACCTACAAAGGTTTTAATCAGGTTGCGTAAGGAAGAATCTGACATCAATTTAGTGATCATGGCAATAAGAGAACAGAATTCTTATAGATTGCTAACCATTTCAATAAGACACATAGAGTATGAATAAACTGATTATATGGAGGTGTGTGCTTAAAATATTATATGCTGTGAAGTATTATCTAAGGAGTTAGCAATGGGTAAAAGATGTCGCCTATATTGTTGATTGTGAGCTGCACAAATGCCTAGTTGGCCCCTGCAAAAACAGAACAACAGTTCTGGACTAGATGGACCTTTGGTCGGATCTAGCAGGACCCTACTTACGTGCTGACTAGAATAAAATATGAATACTGTACATTATTTTGGAGCAAAAGATTTGGAAATTATGAAATCACTTTAGTTGCCATGATCTGCTTCTAGAGAGGAATGTAGCCATGTTAAGTCATTTTGACCTCCTTGAAGTACCTACTTTTACACATACAGACAATATCACCTTCTTTTGAGGTGTCTGAAACAATCATAAGTTGCAGCATTTCACTCTAAAAAAGGAAATGGTTCTACTGTTGTCTGTCATGTACTACTGTCATTCTGACTTATGGCATCATTCATAGGACTTTCAAGGTATGTGAAATAGTCAAGGAATAGTTTACCATTGCCATCTCCTGGTGAACTTCCATGGCTAAGCAGGGTTTTGAACCCAGATCTCTAGTGTTCTAGCCCAACACTTTATCCACTACATTACATTCACCAAATATTACTTCTTATGGGGTTATTTTCAGGTCATTATAATCCTATATTAAGCTGTCCCATCACTATCTCATTATTAAAGATGTAGGATGGGATAAATTGCAAAATAGAATACTATTAGAGAATAAAACAAGGAGAGGAACATTAAAAGTTACACTTAATTTGCAAAGCGCACAAGAAAACACAGTATTATCAAGAACTAAGGGGAAAAAAGCAGAAAGTAACAAGAAAGGATTATCATAAAGTTCCTACGTCCATTTATGTTAAAGAGAATGAACAGGTGTTGCTTTGATGTAAGCCACTCAGGGTCGTGGCTTATATCAAAGATGGACAGGATGGACAGAGAGAGAGACAGACAAACGGACAACAAACAAATGGCCAGTCATAGATTAGAGAAAGATAGCAGAGTCATAAAAGACTCAGAAATAAAATCACCAAGTTTTTTAAACATCCAGAATAAGATTAACAAAAATTGGGTTAAAGCTACCTAGGGCAAATAATTCATTTTCATGGAGTATGTAGAATCTTGTACATGAGGTATGATTCTATAGCATTACACTGCAGTAATCCCAACGAAATTTGTTAAAATGATAAAGTCCCTGAAGTCAATATAGAAGTCATGCTGTACAATCTTATCATAGTTAGTTTTAAAATAAGCTCCCTGCTTTCATTAGTTCCTGCCTCTAAAATCTGTCATTAAAAAAGACAAATAAATGGGCTCTAGATCAAATAAAGACTGAACTTTCATTAAAAGCTGAAATAACTAAACCGAGGCTCTCATACTTTGGACATATCGTGATAAAATAAGACTCAGTGGTAAAGAAAATAACACTAGGAAGAATGGGACGCAGCTTGAAAAGCAGAAGACCAAATGTAGGATGGAGTGACTCTCAGTTTGCAAGACCTTAGCAGGCTGTTAATGACAAGTTTTTGGAGGTTATCACTTTACAGAGTCTAAGTTTGAAGTGACTTGACAGCACTTCAGAACACAAGGGGCAGAAAGAATTGTTATAGATAACCCCTCATTAGTGCTGAAACATAATTTAAATAGCTTTTTTAAAAAAAATCTGACTTCAAAGGAAATCCTTGTTTTAAGTCCTAAAGAAATATCACAAAACATAGAAAGCTAATTTGAAAAACACCAAGGGTTAGGAAAAGTTCCTGTAGCGATACTCACAAGCTACTGGCCCTTAAGAATTGTCCACTTCTAATGACAGCAATCCATTGTGTCTATTTTGTTCTGAGACCAAAGGGCATCCATATTGACATCCATATTGTTCTAACTATTTAATTATTTTGAAACTTGTTTGATCTCCAGTTGCAGCAGGTTTATAAATAAATAAAATAACTTATTCCCCACTCCACCCCACCACCAGGCACCATTATTGATGGAGGCTGATATTTTAAAAATCATGTTACGATGATATCTAAAGAACCTGAGAAAATAAGAATATCCTAGATTGTCACAAAAATATATTAGAATGGGCATCATTTTATGAATAATGGGAGGCCAAGGGAGAGGCCCCTAACAATTTTTTGTTCCTTTGCGTATATGTACAACTACATTTAAACTAACAAAACAAGAGGGACAGGTATCCTAAACAAACAGATGAAAGTAAAAAAAGCTAGAAGGGATTATTGAGGGTGGAAACAATTCAGTTGTGGTTACTTGCAAAGTTTGTGCTATTTTTGTCTTTGTTCCTGAGTGTAAAATGCTATATACATGTAACAAGTGTAAACTTCTGGCACTGTTAGAAGAGAAAGTCAGAAAACTGAAGCAGCGTGTAGCCACACTCAAGGCTATATGGGAAGATGAAGCCTCCACATATATATTACATTTTTATTTTTGATTTTCCTTATAATGGTAGGGTAAGGTAAGGGGCAGCTGGGATAGGGGTACCCTCGGAGGGAGTGTATTTGAACGGAAAAATTACAAATAAATATTTTTCATAGTAATTCTATACATTCTTTTCTAGAAATAGTTCCACATATCATAAAGAAATATAGAAAGTGAATGAGAGAAAAAAAATCAAATTCAGACAGATATATTGTTATTCTAATTATGATTATATAGCTGATAGTCTTTATCCATAATTTAGTCTGTCTCTTCTGCAGCCATACAGAAAACTATGTATCAGTTCATTATTCTATCTGTACTGTAACCATGTATATAATTGTGACCAAATTTTCAGATGGTCTTTTTTTCTTTTTTTCATCTAGTCAATCTGATAGTATGTTCATTTCTGCGGTTTCAAGTGTTTTATCTATTACTTCATCTATTTGGGGTGTTCTAGGTTCCTTCCAGTGTTTTGCAAAAACTATTCTTACTGCTGTTATAATATGAATAGTTAAATATGATTTTTCAGAGTCTAGTATATCTGGCAGGATATTTAATAGCAATAATTCTGGTATCATCGGTATTGAAGTTTCTAATATCTCTTATAGCATCTGATTCACTTAACTCCAGTATTTTTGGGCATCTTTGCACATCCACCACATGTGATAAAAATTAAAAAAAAAAAAACAAGGAAGGAAGATGAAGCCTCCATTGATAGGACTCTTGAGCAGCAGCAGCTGTCAGAGGGCGCACTGCTGATGGAAGAAAAAGAAAACATTGCAGTGGAGGAAAATGCTGTAGAGGCTACAAACATAGTGAAGGAACCACCATGTAAAAGAATCACAGTTAGGAGCAAAAGAAG